GCTTTTAGTTCGCTTTTTTATTTTGACCGTAATGCAAACAGGCATAAGTATTCCATAAAATCAGAAGATTGGGACTATACAGAGAGAGGTGCATGCTTCAGAACAACGTGGATATCTTGCAAACAGAGCCAGAGCCAGTCTGAGAGAGGGGCCGGAGCACGGGGGATGAATGGCAGAGATTTTAGCAGCATCGAGAGCTCGGAGGTAGGGGAAGAACCACGTTTCTGGCTGCTTAAAGCACTGGGAGGATCACACACAGCTCGGCTCACCCCACCCCTGCGGCCTCAGCACAAACCTGCCCTGGGATCACACAGAAAGCAGCTACAAAAGGAGCTCCCCTGCCCCGCACTCAGCTGGGGGGTGGGATGCAAGGTGAGAGTGCCAGGCTCAAATCTCGGCATCATTTCCTCGAGCGGATGAAGGCACAGTGATGTGAGGTGTGAGGGGAGCAGGGAGCAGCCAGGGCCTGGAGCCCCACCCAGCCCAGCAGGATTTACCCACATCTGAAGGGTTTGCAATGGAAAATTTGGGAGTTCCCTGCCCCAAAGCTGCCACCTTCCCCAGCCCACTCCCCGTCCTCACCGCTGCTCTTCAGGAAAAGGCCACTGGAAAATGAAAAACTCCAACCCAACCTTTGAGTCTGAGACTGAAGGTGCCTGGGGGAGCCGAGGGGATAAATCCCTGCTCCTATTACAAAAATTAATTGGCACTGAATATCAAATTCCCCAGGCAGCTGGCAGAAGTGGTGTTTTTGACTCTGTGCAGTCGAAAAAGCGACGAGTCCCGGCTGAAAGTCACCGTGCTCTGCTCATCCTCTGCCTGGGGAACGGCGTGTGCACTCTGCAAAAGCTGCACACTGCTCACAAAGCACACACAGCCCGGGGTTTTTAAAGGCATTTCAAGGCAGCCGAGCATGGGAATTCAACCTTGGGAATTGTGGGGATTTGCCTTTATTGGAGGGTTTTATCAAAGCAGGGATTTTGCACTGAATCTCACTCGCAGGCAGATTCTCCAACCCCATCTCCTGTTCCTGAGCATCCTCTGGGCTGCTGGGAAGTGGCTTTTGTTAAGACAGGATTCCATGCCACGGTCACACAGAGAGGAGAACAAAAAAGCAGGCTCAGAAGCGAGGAGCATTAATGTCTCAGTTAATTAAGGCTGTTTTGTTGCCCTTGATAAATTTTAAAAATCTCCGTCAGCAGTTATTGTAGGAACAAAAAGTTTGATTTAATCCAAATTTGATACACTGGCTGTTTGCTCTCTGTTTGCTTTCCCCACCCCAAAACCAACCCATGAAAACAAAGCAGCCAAAAGAAGCCCTGAATTAGCTCCTCTCTTAGACCAACTTTTCCAGTATTTAGCCTTTTAATTTTCCAGGTATTAAGCATGCCCCTGGAAGGAAAATACTTTGATTGGTGTTTTTCCCTCCCAGATTTCTGCTCCAGCCCTGCAGACAGCTGCCCTGCATCCCAGTTCTTGCTTTTCCACAGCTCCAGGACAGCTCTGAAAGCTTTGGATACAAGAGTCTTGCCCAACTCCTCACCACAGCAATGAGGAATAGCTGCAAAACTTCAGCCTGAAGGCTCCTGATAAACCAGGGATTCTCAGGGCCAGCCTCACGGGTTTGATTTGCTCACTTTGAGGCGCTTCCTCCCTCCTCCTCCCCAAAATCTGGCCAGGTAGGACGTGGATGAGTGAGGCAGAAGAGCAGCAGCCCTGGCAGTGAGGTGCTGCCACTGCCCAGCTCTGAGCTCACAACCTCTGGGGGTTTTATTCCTGTGATTCCAGGGCTCAAATTTCCATCACAGCCAAACATCTGCAGGGGTGGAGGCCAGGAATTGCCAGTCTGCTTCATTTTCCCAGCAGGAAAATAAAAAAAAAAGGTGGATCTGCATGGCAATGCTTGGATATGCCACGAGTTTCCCTGGGCTAAACCAAGCTGATTTTCACCTCTCCTAAATTCTGTTTCACCTCTGCAACCGAGTGCTTTAAAGCAGCAGCTTTCTCCCTCTCCCCTGGCTCCCTGCTGAGCACACATGGCCACATGGAAGAAGCTGGAGCTGGGATTTTCCTGGGAAGGGGCAGATTTCCCAGGGATTGCTGGAGCCATGCATTGCAGGCACGTGCAAGCGCAGATTGACACACGTAAAAATATTCTGAAATTGCTGCTGCTGCTGTGCAAGCTGCCAAAATCCCCAGTGCCACTGAAGCCAGCAGGTGTGGAAGGCATTTTGGATCTGGGAGGACTTGGATTCCAGGCTAATTTTATCCAAGTTCAGGATTACAGGTTTTTCAAGAGCACTGGCCAAATTTTGCTCTCCCTGTTACAGCAGAAGGAATTGTTATAACAAACAGGGAGTTACAGCAAAGTTGAATGGTCCTGCAAATGTGTCTCCATCTGTTCTGGGAAGGGACTGTGCTCCCCTCTGGAACTGTCAACGCAATTGCAGAGTTATCAGAGCAGTTCTGAAGCTGAGAACGAGTCCCTGGTGAAACAGGAACAGAATCGAGTTTTGAGCATAAAATCATCCTTCCAAAAAATGGTGGGAACCCTCAGGGGGCAATGGAATGGCTTCAGCAGTCAGAGGTCAGGAGGCAGCAGCTTTGGCTTGGGCTTGGTGCAAGTCCAGGAGGCTGCGAGCCCAAGCACAACCTCTCCCCCAGCGTGACCAGAGCGGGGTCTCCAGGGTGGGGGGGAGTTCCCAGCCCCAGTCTGCACCCACACTGTCACCTCCCCTCCTCTCCATCCCCCTGGGAAGCCCCAGCTCGGGGGCATGGGCTGGCTTTGCTCCCAGCTGTCCCAGAAGGAGCCCGAGGCAGGAGCAGTGCCGTGCTCCCCTCCCAGCACAAGGCACTGTGAGTCCCTGTCCCCAGCACCTCCAGCTGGGCAGGCAGGGCTGCCACGGGAGGGATCTGCAGGGGGAGCAGCCAGGATGGGGCAGAGGAATCACACACTGACAGGGAAGCAGCAGCCACAGGCTGGACACGGGGCACTGTCCCCTCTGTGCCCACGTCCTCCCTGCAGGGGGTGGCTCCTGGCCAGGACAGACACCTCAGATCCCTCAGACCCTCATGCTCAGGGCGTGCACACAGCCCCTGCTCCCCCTGGGGACACACAGGCACAGAGGGGACAGGGACAGCCCAGAGCCAGATCCCATTCTCTGACCAGCTTGGCTCAGTTCCTCTTGAGCAACAAGCTCAGGCCACGACGTGGAGGTGACAGCTCTGTGAGGCCACTCCTGGTGGCAGATGTCTCATTGTTTTGCCCCTGTCTCGTTGTTTTGCTGTTGTCTCATTGTTTTGTTGTTGTCTCATTGTTTTGCCGTTGTCTCTCATGAACAGAAGAACAACAAACTCCCAGGCAGCCCTTCCCAGGAGATGGAACCTCGGAAATCACCACCAGCTCTGGATACCCGTGCACTGAATGGATTTCCCCTGCTGGTGGACACAGCAGGGTGGGAAAACACAAAACCTTTCCCCCTGGCTTTTCAAATCCATTAATGACTCTCTGTGGACACTTGAAAGAACTAGGAAGTGAAATCTTTGCAAAAAACCCCACTTTGTAGTGTCTTGAAAACCAAACCTCCTGTTGAGAGAAGAGTCTCTTTAACACCTGGAGAGGGAAAAGGAGCAGAGCTGCTCCAGACTGGGGTGGTGGTGGTGGTGGAGATCCTCAGGAGAGCAACTGGGACGCTGGCCAGGCTGGATCCATCGGTCCAGCACAGGAAGGGTGGGCAGCAGGCACCCAGAGGGGACAGATTTGTCACCTGAGTGCCCCAGAGGCACAAGCCCCGTGTGTGTGACCCCTGGAGCATCTCAGGTGGGGCAGACCCACCTCCCTCTGTGTTCATAGCAGAGATTTTGTGGCTTCACCTGCACGTCAGAAAGGCTCCAGGGGGACGAGCAGGGGCCAGGCTGGAAGAGCCACACTCAGGAATAATAAAACACATGCACAAGTTTCTTTCCCCTGTTGCTACGGGAGAAAATGGAGCTCGAGGGGAGTGCGAAGCCCCTGCAGGTGCAGGGGATGAAGGGGAGCAGTTCAGACGTCTGAGACTGACTCAACAGCAAAGAGTGAATCAAAATTCCCAGTGGTGCAGCTGGTGAGGAGCCAGCGGGAGCAGAGGCAGCTCGGAGCCCTGGGGGGCTTTAACCTCATGGACCTTCATGGCAGGGAGGGGATTTCTGCTCCGGGTCCAGGCAAGGAGCCTTAAAGCAGCATTTCCCCTCCAAGGGCAGGGCTCAAGCTCAGGTGTTTGCTGAGCTCTGCTGGCCCAGACCCTCTGCAGTCCCATGGCAGGAGGGCTGTGCTGCCCTGCTGGCTCCCCTGGCAAGGGAGATGCAGGAGATGAGCTTTGGGATGCACAAAAAGCAAGATACTCCAGCTCAGGCACGGGCTGCAGGTGGGAGATGGTACAGCAGGGCAGGCAGGAGGCAGCACAGGGGGGAAACCTTGCCAGCACCACGGCGGGAGCTGGGAAGAGGACAAAGAGATGGTTTTTTATGCATTATCTCCTCCTCCTCCTCTTCAGGTTGCATCTTCCCATCTTCTGAAGGAGGACCAGAGCACAATTCAGGAGCCAGAATTTCCCAGAGGAAGAGGATGAGTCTGATTTTCTTTCTGACTTTCTTTCTGATTTTAGCTTGGTTACTGCAGCCACAGGATGGGGGTCAAGGCCAAGCTTGCTGCAGTTCCCAGCTCTGGAGCCAGGGGGTTTTCTCCCAGACCCCTCCCAAACTCACACATCCCAAGCCAAGGGGTGCAGCTCCCCCATGCCACGGTCCGCCCTGGGATTGGGGTGGGCTGTCCTTTCCCCCGAGCTCTCCAGCTTTCCCCTCCACGTCACCCAGTGCCGAGGCAGTGCCACACAGCTGGCCGCGTGTCCCAGCCCTGCCAGCTCAGCTCTGGCCACACCGTGGCAGCATTTATTCGTTTTATCCCGTGTTGGATGCTCGGCTGGCACCAGCAGACCTGGATCTCAAAAGGATTTCTTGCCTGGAGCCCTTTTGCTCCTGGATTTTAGGCTGGAGATGCTTCAGGGGTTCAGGGGTCGAAGTTGCAGAAGGTGTCACAGCCCATGGAGACGAGGCAGGAGAGGGCAGGAGATCCTGGCTGAGGGTGGCAATAACAGCACAGCCCGGGGCAGTGGGGCTTGTTCCGTGGCTGGGAGATCAGCAGAGCTCCTGCAGCTGTTTCTGTGCTGCCTTTAGCTCAGGGCAGGTGATCTGAGCCCTGTGAAAGCTCCTGGGCAGTCCCTGTGCTGTCAGCAGTCCAGGAGCACGGCTCCATCCAGGATATCCATGCACAGCAGGGCAGGAGGGGAGGAGCAGCAGCTGCCACCTCAAGATGCCAACCCTGCATCCCTGCCCCCAGCAAGAGCTGCAGCCACGTCCTGCTGTCCTTGTGTGGCAGTGAGGGAGGACAAACCTGGGCTGGGCTCAGCTGGGCAGAGCCTGGTGCCAGAAATGCTGAGGTTCAGTCCCTGGATGGGGATTCACTCAGGAGCTGGGCTGGATCCTTGTGGGTCCCTTCAGTTCAGAATGTTCTGTGACTCTTCAGGGTGCAGCAGGAGGAAGGACACACAAGGTCGTGTTTGCTTTCCCTTGCAGACAGCTTTTCTCTGTTAGAGGCTTTCTGTTTCCTCCAACCTTTCTGTGGTTGTGTTAAATTGCTTTTGGGGCCAGGTTCTTGCAGCAGGGCTGAGGTGTGAGCGTGTCAGAGCCCAGCACCTTTGCAGCTGATCTCACCTCCCTTCTCACAGGAGCTGTCCTGGCTGAGACAGCTCATGCCACTGGCAGGTGGCACAGAGGGGCCTGCCTCACCCCCAAAATGCCACACGCATCTCTCTTGGCAGGCAGGTGGCTCCACGGTGGCACTTTCTGCTCCCTAAAACGTGGAAAGGGCTGGGTCTGCTCTCCCAGAAGTGCTCATGAGATGTGCTAAGAGCTGCTGGCTCTGGGATTTCATGATTCCTCTGTTGGCACATCCTTGCCAAAGACCTGGAGCCTCCATCCCCCTCCAAGTGCTGCCTTTGCTCCCTCTGGCAGCTGGGAGCTGCTTCTGTCCCATCCTCGTGTCTTTCCAGGCTCACCTGGGAGAGGGATCAGGGTGTGCAAAGCTCTGGGTGCAGCCAGCGTGGCTGCAGATCAGATATTCCCTGGAAAACCCCCTGGAGAAGTCACTGCCAGGAGCTTTTCCTTGGCTTGCACAACAGCCTGTGTGCTCAGAGCTTGTGGGAGAATTTCCATGCCAGCAAAAGTTGGGAGTGAGCAAAAGGAGAGGCTCAGAGGGAAAATGAAAAGAGAGCAGGAGAAGAGAGAAGAGAGACAAAGCAGGGCCCGTTTAGGAGCAATCGTGACATGTAAATCAGATCAAAAACCACACAGCTGTACCCAGGCTGCTTGGGGATGAATAAAATTCAAGGGAATTGCACATCATCTGCCCCCAGCCTCGGTCATGTGCCCAGGTTTGTCCAAATCCAGAGGAAAGCCATGGAAACACAAGGATTCAGCCAAGCCCCGAGCAGGGAAAGAGGGAGCCTGGCAGGAACAACCCCCAGCTCTGGGCAAGCAACAAGACCTCGCCATTGCCCAGCCCCTGCCACCTCTGCTCACCCCCAGGAACTCCCAAAAATGATCACAAAGGTGGTGATTTCATGCAGCTGCAAAATGCCCTCACGGGAAGGAAGGGAAGTGTGGAATTCTGAAAAGAGCCACTGCAGGTTATAAAGCCATCAAACTCCAGTGGGGAAATCCAGGGAAAGGGAAGGAAGTGAAAAGAAATGGCCACAGGACAAGAGCAAGAGAAGGAGGAAGGAAAGGAAATAAAAGTCATCATCATCATCATCATCAGGACACAAGAACAGGACGAGAGACAGAGCGCTTTCCATGGGCAGTTCCCCTGGGAAAGGAGCCAGCGTGTCCGTGAAATACAAAACCCAGTGCCCTCCAGCTGGAGGGGGCAGCAGGTGCTGGGACTGGTTTGGCATCCCCTGGGGGCGAAGGGTCCAGTTAGGAGCAGAAAACCCTGCAAGGGAAAGGGGAGAAAGGCTGGCCTTAGAGGGAGCAGTGAGGAGCACCGGGATCGTCCCCACCTGGCCTTTCTGTGTTGTGGGCAGGAGTTTACGGAGCTGGGTGAGGGGGCAGGAAGTGACCTTTATCCCTATCCAAGAAGGGAAACTGAGGCACTCTCATGGAGTCCAGACCCCAGAGTATGTGATTCCTTGGAGAAAAATTCCTGCCAAACCTCAGAGAAGTGGGGAAACCCACTCCAGGCACTGCACAGGGAAGGGGTTTCACCCCAAGCTACAAAGGGCCAGCACAAGGAGCACGATCCATGCAGCTGCCCAGCCTTTATCCTAAATAATCCTTCTGCTCAGCCAGGGAAAATCCCACCACGACCAAGCTGAGCAAATGGCAGGACTTGGTAGAGCAGAAACAAACACGGTAAATGTCAAGATTTCCTTTTTTTTTTACTTCTGGTTGTTTTTGCAACAGCACAAACACGGCAAATGTCAAGATTTTTTTTTTTTTTTCCTCCACTTCTGGTTGTTTTTGCAACAACCGGGAGAAAAATCTCTGGATCTTTCCTGAAGGGGCATGGAGAGCTGAACACCTGGAGCCAGCCAGGCTCCTCTGCAGCTGGGGAGAGCCACCCCTACCTGTGGGTTTTGCCAGCCTGGAAGCAGGCAGCAGGCAGGACCGTTTTCCTTTGGATGGGATTGTCAGGTCTGAGCACATCAGTGCAATAAATTGGGAAGCTGGGGGGATTTATCCTAGAGAGGTGACAGCTATTCCAGAGGCACTGCCAGGCTTCCAGAGCAAAAATCAGTGCCTTCCTCAGCCTGTGCTTCAAGGTGTGCACAAAAGCCAAAGCTTCCTTCCCCATCTTTCCCCATCCTTTCCCACCTTCCCCATCCCCCAGCCCAGGAGGTGGCTGCAGGGGTTAAAACAAAGTGTTGACTCACTCATCCGTGTCTTTTTTGCTCTCCTCGATGAACGCGATGGACTCGGATCTAAGGCGGTTTGTCACCTCGTACGTGCGCAGGGTGACTCCAAAAATATCCTCGTGGTACCGGCTGTCATCCTGGGAGGGAGGTGGCAGAGGGAAAAAGGGGATTTGTGAATGCTTGGGGTCGGCCCCAGCAAAATCCTGCATGGTGGGGAGGCAGCAGAAGCACGGGAGAGGGTTTGGGCTCTGTCACAAGGGGACAGAGGGTGGAGTGACCTTCCCAAGGTCACACCCTGGGCACAGTGGGGCTGTTCTGGGCACCAGACCCCCTCAGCTGCTGGAAATTCCTGGCTGGCAGGGGCACAGCAGCCCAGGGGCAGTCTGTGGACAGCCAGAGGCTCTAGGCTCCCTTGGATGGGGCCTGGATGGAGGTGGGGACATGCTTCAGGAGGGGAATCATGCTGAGCTATCCTCCTGGGGAGAAGCAGAGCTGTTCCAGCATCCATCCATGGGTCTGTGTCCCAAACTGAGCTCATTTAGGCTTCAGCTTCATCATCTGTGTCTGGCACGGGGCACACAGGCAGATTTGCAGTGGGGACCCACAAAATGCCCTGATAAATCCATTTTCTGACAGATGGTGAACAAGCCCTGCCAGGGGTGCCCAACAGCGCTGGCACCGGTGCTCAGCCTGCTCCCCAGAGGAGCCAGGTGACCTCCCTGCACACAGAAACCTTTGGAATGTCCCCTCCCGCCCCTCCCTGGGCACAGGGGGCAGGCAGCAGGTGCAGTGCCCGTGGCAGGAGTGGCGGCGGTGGCACGCGCGGGGGGCACGCTGCGGACACGGCTCACCCGCAGCTTGCTGAGGAAGGCTCCTGCCTCCTCTGCTGACAGCTGGCCCTGCTGCCTCACGATGAGCTGCACGGCCTTGAGGACGTCCCCAGCCATGGTGACATCCCCGCAGACGTAGATGTGGCCTCCCTGCTCCTTCAGTGCTTTGAACACGGTCTGGGCCAGCTGCTCCTGTAACACGTCCTGCACGTATTTCTGCGGGGTGAGGAGGAGGGAGCTGGCATTAACTCGGGTTTGTCCTGCCCTGGGGGCAGCACTGAGGGGTGACCCCTCTTTGGGGCACACAGCTGTGCCTTGCAGCACCCGCAGTGACAAAAAAGAGATGGGAGGACAGCAGCAAAGCAACCTTCTGCTCTTGCATGGGCACACCTGCACCATCTCTTCCATTGCCAGGCCTGTCCAGTCCCAGTGGGAATTTGAAGGGGGTGTTTGCATTGGCTCTCGGCCACCCCTCTGGGTGACATATTTTTTCCTTTCCTTTCCTCATTCTCCTTTCCTTTCCCATTCTCCTTTCCTTTCCCATTCTCCTTTCCTTTCCCATTCTCCTTTCCTTTCCCATTCTCCTTTCCTTTCCCATTCTCCTTTCCTTTCCCATTCTCTTTTCCTTTCCTTTTTCCCATTTCCCTTTCCTCTTTCCCCTTTCCCATTCTCCTTTCCCCTCCTCCTCTCCCACCTGGATGGCTGCATGACCAGCCTGGGCACTGGGATGGGGACATGCCCTGGGAACGGTGCCCACAGGGAAGGGACAATCCTGCACATTTCTGTGCCCCAGGGGTGAGCCACCACTGGCCAGGGAACCAGCCCTGGTGGCTCCCCGTGGGCACAGGGAGCATTCCTGGGCCGTGCCCACCTTTGGTTTGTCGGGTTCCCGGGAATAGGCCGTGTACAGCTCTCTGAAGACACCCTGGCTTTTGGCAAAGAGCGTCTCCTCCTTGTAGATGTGGTCAATCCTGGACTGCCGGCAGCCAAACACCAGCACCATGGGACACGGCTTCAGCCCTGGGGACAGCGTGGGGACAGCACTCAGCGCAGGGACACCAGGTGCCACGAGCCACCTCCCATTCCCACCAGCCACCTCCCTCCAGACTGCCAGCAGATCTGCTGGGACACCCCTGGCAGGGTGGGACCCACACCCCGACACCCCGACCCAGGGTTCCCAAAATGTGTGTGAGGTGAGGAAGGATGGCCCCACCCAAAATGTGTGTGAGGTGAGGAAGGATGGCTCCACCCAAAATGTGTGTGAGGTGAGGAAGGACAGCCCTACCCAAAATGTGTGTGAGGTGAGGAAGAAGACAGCCATACCCAAAATCTGTGAAGTGAGGAAGAGGACGGCCTCACCTAAAATCTGTATGTGGTGAGGAAGGATGGCCCCACCCAAATCTGTGTGAGGTGAGGAAGAGGATGGCCCCACCCAAATCTGTGTGAAGTGAAACAGGGGACAGCCCTACCCAAAATATGTTAGGTGAGGAAGGATGCACCCACCCAAATCTGCGTGAGGTGAGGAAGAGGATGGCCCCACCCAAAATCTGTGTGAGGTGGGGAAACAGGATGGCCCCACCCAAATCTGTGTGAGGTAAAACAGGGGACAGCCCTACCCAAAATCTGTGGGGTGAGGAAGAGGATGGCCCCACCTTTGTGCTGGATGTCGAAGAGCCGCTGCTGCCAGAAGCTGCGGAAAGGGGCGATGCCGGTGCCGGGGCCGATGAGGATGCAGGGCACCTGGGGGTCCTGGGGCAGGTGGAACCCGGGGGCACTGCACACACCAAAGCTCCAGTTATACACCAGCAGGGAGTTCCCTCTGCCCACAGCCAGCTGAGACAGCTCCCAGAGAATGAGGGGCAGAAAATGAGGTGAAATCCCAGGATGTGACATTTTGGTGCAGAATTTCTCTCAAAGGGGAACCATTTTCTCACAAACCCAGCTCTGTTTTCTCCCACTATGACAACAATGGAGGGCAGAGAGCTCATCCTGTGAGAGGTCTCACCCAGTCTTCCTCAGACCTGGTCTTGTGTGGGTTACTCACCCTCGTACAAAGCAGGGCACCACTTCATCTGTCTGGATCCGACTGAGCCATGAGGAGCACACTCCGTGGTGGATTGGTCCCTCTCCATCTGGGAAGGGAGGGAAGGAGGAAGGAAAGGAGGTCTGTACGTGGCACATCACCCAACAACTCTGTTTTCTTTCCTAAAACCCTCCCTGTTACATCCTCCATGAACACCTCCCTGAAACATGTCATATCTCAGCATCCATTCTCCACAAACTTGGCAGAGTTTGGCACTTGGATCCCTCTGTGGAGCTACCCAGTACCCTGACCTGGCATAGCTGGACCTCCACAATCCTTAGGGAGCACCCAGCTCTCCTTTGGACCTTTTTGGCAGGGGCAGTATCATGATGCCCGCAAACACAAACTCTCCATGGCAGCTCCACTGTCCTCCCTCTGTCCTGCAGAACGGAGGGGGTTTGCATTTTCCATTTCAAGGGAGGCTCCTGCCTTTTAAACCTGGCTTTTAAACCAAGACACTGCCGCAGAAGTGTCACCTCTGTGTCACTGCCACTCTCCATGACATGGGACAGCAGTGCTGTGGTTTGGGGGAATTTGCAGCAGGCAGAAAGGCTTTAAAGGAACATCTCCCTGCCAGAGATGTGGTGTGGTTCCTCTGCTTCCCCCAGAGCCCAGCCCCGCGGCGGTACCTCGGGTGCGGTAGGACACCACAGCCACGGTGAGGTGCACCTCTCCTGGGTACATCTCTGGGGACGAGCTGATGGAGTAGTAGCGAGGCTGCAGGAGGGGCAGCTGGGTGAGCAGCAGCGTGGAGGGCATCTGCACCGAGGGGAACTCCTCCAGCACCTCCACGATCGTGGGGTTCTTGGACCACTTCCACTCCTCATACTCCTGCAAGCCCTGGGAAAGAGGGAGGGAGGAGAGAGCTGCAGGATCCACCTGTTCCAGGTGATATCCCAGGAAGTCCATGGCAAAGCTGGAGTGGCTGGCAGTGAAGGCCCCCTGAGCCCTGCTCAGGGGTGGAGACAGCCTAAGCACAGTGAGGGATGGAAGTGCCCTGGCTGGGCTGTGATTGCCCCCAGGCCCTTGCAGAACCTGGGGCTTGGGCTCTTTACCTTGCTGAGGACCTGCAGACGTTTCTTCTCCTTGTCATTGGTGGCCAGCAGAGCGAACTGCTGCAGCAGCAGCGGGGTGGGAGGGGTGGTGATGTCCAGGTAGTACTTGAAGGCCTGGAAGATGGTGCAGGGTGGGACACGGTTCTCGTCTGTCCAGTTACTGATGACACCTGCCAGGAGGGAATCCAGCACAAGCCTGGGATCAGCTCAGCAGCAGGGCCAAGGTGTTTTATGTGCTTTATCAAACTAGGTCTTCTCATAAGCTTTTGGAGGTCTATAACACACTTAAGATAGTTCAGCTACTTTTGTGGGCATAAAATTAGCAGGATGGCTTTTGTTGCACTGTTGGAAACAAAAAGGTTTAATAAAAGGCAAAATAACAAACATAAAGATGGATGTGGTTGCAAGAGGTTCTTGCTCTTGGTAAAACACCTCATAATAGCGATTAGTTTCTTTGTTCACTTCTTTTTCTAGTAAATTGTTTTCAGGGCCAAGGTGTTTTATGTGCTTTATCAAACTAGGTCTTCTCATAAGCTTTTGGAGGTCTATAACACACTTAAGATAGTTCAGCTACTTTTGTGGGCATAAAATTAGCAGGATGGCTTTTGTTGCACTGTTGGAAACAAAAAGGTTTAATAAAAGGCAAAATAACAAACATAAAAATGGATGTGGTTGCACGAGGTTCTTGCCCTTGGTAAAACACCTCATAAAAGCGATTAGTTTCTTTATTCACTTCTTTTTCTAGTAAATTGTTTAGGTGGGACTTTTTGGCTTCTGTCCAATTAGCTATCCTTAAGTTTGAGGTGAAGCCTCTTAGGCCTATGAGATGCCTTTTTACCTGATCAAGGAGAGAAACTTCTGGGCTTATTTCTTTTTTAGGGGGACAAAAGATAGTTTTGCCACTCTGTCAACAGGAGGCACATTCCTACACCAAGGTGGGCAAATCCTGGCTTTCTTCCCCCGAGACACTGGATTAGGGTTTTCCATCCCCAGTTACACCATGCATGGCAGGAGGGAATCAGGAAATCCCTGAAATCCGGTGGTGGAATGGCTCCTCCACATCCCTTAATTCTTCTTCCCAGTCCTAGACATTGCCCGTTCTAAGGGAATATAAACACCTTTAGCTTTTCCATGGAAAATCTTCCTCTGGGCCCTGCCCACACTTCAAACCCTTGCTCCACCTCCCAAGTGCAGACAAGCAATGGCTCTGGGCAGAGCAGGGATGAAGGAGGTGTTCTCAAAATCCACACAAACACAGCAGGGAGATGGAAATAATTTTTCATTCCTGAGGAGCTACAAGAACTTCAGGGAAAGGAGGAGAGAGGCCACCTGTGCTCCCTGGTTACCTAGAGCCGTGCTCCTCTCCTCCAGCAGCTCCACCTTCACCAGCTGGTTGGTCGGAGGGGCATCCTCAAGCCTGTCGATGAGGGCATTGACCAAGTCCTCGTGGTTGCCCGGGAAGACGCCCAGGTGGTCCCCGGGCTGGTACTGCAGCTCCTGGTGCCCGTTGGTGTGCAGGCGCAGGAAAATCGTCAGGCGGCTGCAGGGGAAGGAGGAGAGCAGGAAAAAGTGGTTTGGGGGAGCCTTCCCCAAAATCGCCAACTTTGGGAAAGCCCCTAAAGATCCTTCAGGGAGTGGCTGAGCCCTGGAGCTGCTGGTGAGCTGGGCAGGGGTGGTGGCATGTCCAGGCTGTGGTGGCCGTGTCACCCAGGTCACGGCAGGGAGAAGGGACATGGCACCATGCCCTGACTCACCCTCAGGGACTTTTTAAAAGGGGAAAAACAACTGAACCTCTTGCTCAGCAATTTTATCCTTCCTTTGCTGCCCCTCCAGCCAGCTCCCCATGCCGTGGGCTGAGGGAGGGACCTGCAGGAATTCCACCGTGCTTGGAGGCCAGGAACACCCTCCACTGCCTTCCAGGCTGACTCATGGCCTGCACAAAGGTGGATTCCATGGACGTCCAGAGCTCAAAGGATGTTTGTAGCACTGTTCTGGGTATTCCAGATGTGGGTTCAGCTCCTGGGACAGCAGCATCTCCTACCTGGACTTGGGGCTCTGCAGGTTCTGGCGTGTGAGGAGCCGGGCTGCATAGACACGTTTCTTGTGGATGCTGTACAGTCCTGAGGAGGAAAAGAGTCAGGGAAGGGATTCAGTAGAGCATGGCCAAGGCTTCTGTAGGATCATTGTGGGTTCAGCCCCTCAGACCAGAGCTGACCACAGGGGTTTGACCTCCCATCTGCGAGCCCAAGGGACCAGAAACCCCAGGGGTGACCCACGTTTGTTAGTGACAGCACGTTTTGTTAGTGACAGAGGAGCACTCCAAAACCACCCCTGTGGCACTCGGGGCAGTTCCCTCGCATTGCCCACAGCTCCTCTTGCTGCCTGGCTGGCAGGAGAGCGCCTGGCTCTGGGCAGAGCTGAGGCGGTGCTGCAGGAGCTGCAGGAGCCCTGCTGAGGGGCCAGGTGGCCATGGGCCGGACCTGCCTTTGCTCCACAGCGCTCCACGGAGCAGCATTGGACAAAACAAGGCTGGAAAGATCCCAATTTTCCAGCTCCTCTCTTCAAAAAACGGGGTCAGGAGGAGGGAGAGCAGATCATGTCCAAACATCTCTGTTACAGACACAGACAGGACCGGCCAGAGAGGCCCGGGCCTGCTCCTTGCGCGTGGGATGAGGAAAGGCAGGGCGGAAACGCTGGGAATTTAACAGAAATTCTGTTAAATTAACCCAAAAGCAGGGTCTGGCCCCTTTGCCTGCCTTGTCCCTGTGCCCAGAGGCAGAGCCCTCCAGGCCTGTACCTTGTGTGAGCTCGGGGGCCTCAGCCACGTAGGTCAGGCGGAACTTGCTCCTCTTCCAGCTGCGGTCGTTGCTGATCAGGGAGTTGTTGGCTTTCTCGATGTTGACGTCGTCCCCCACGCAGAACACGTCACACGCTGCCTGCAGCACACACCAGGCCCTCAGGCACCTGCCGAGCCCAGCTGACCCCCTCAGCCCAGCCCACGCCACTGTCATATCCTCTGGAAAAATCCCTTGCCCAGGATTTCCCTCCTGGGAAGCTGAGAAGCCTCAGAGAAAAAGGAAAACAATAATTATCTGATCTGCTTCTCTGGTGTTTTGCTGCTTTGGAATGTGGTTTGGACATTGTTTATCCAGCAGGTGATTGTTTCATTGGTTGCATGTGAATTGTTTTTACCTATTGGCCAATTACAGCCAGCTGTGTCAGACCCTCTGAGGAGAGAGTCAGTTTTTCATTAGCATCTTTCTAGCTTTCTGTATGTATCCTTTCTCTATTCTTTAGTATAGTTTAGTACAGTTTTAGTATAGCATAATATATAATATAATATAATGTAATGTAATATAATATAATATAATGTAATGTAATATAATATAATATAATGTAATGTAATATAATATAATATAATGTAATGTAATATAATATAATATAATGTAATGTAATATAATATAATATAATATATAATCCTTCTAAGAACATGGAGTCAGATTTATAATTTTCCTCACCTTCATGGGGGGCCCCAAAAATACCACAAACTCACACGGAAAAGGAGCCCCCAGCAGGGTGGGGATGTACCAGTGGCCACAGACATGGCTTGTGGGGCTCTTCTTCCCAGATATCTGGGATGATGCAGGAATTCAACACGTTGCTGACCTTTGGGTGGTCAGTACAAACCAGGGCATCAGCTCCACCCTCTTTACTGGGGGCTGGGGCAGTGCCGGAGTGTCCCAGTGCCAGGAAGGGGAGGCTGGGTTCAGATCCAGCTCCAACCTCTGTCCTTCTCCCCCCTGCTCCTCCCTGCAGCCCCAGGTTACCTTGAAGACCTTCTTGGCCCAGGTCCTGAAGGATTCCTCCTGGCCACAGAGCTCGTCCCCTTCTCCCATGCGGAGGATCCTCTCTCCCCCCAGCTCCTCCAGCAGCGTGTCCACGGCGCGGGCGAAGGCGCAGAAGTGGGGGTAAGCCCTGGAGCCCAGCCCAAACACGGAGAACCTGTGCAAAGATGGCTCAGCTGTGGCTGCTCAGCCGGGAGGGACCCTGAGTGGGAAGGTAATCCCACCAGAAGATACCAGATTTTACTAATGTGGTCCCTAAATCGTGGGGCTCACAACTCTCTCACGCACATGAGGTGATGAGCAGTTTTCAACCCCAGTGTGCAGTGGGGTGACTCACCACAATGCAGCTGTTATCACTTACTATATGAACAATTTATTCTTAGAATTCAGTTGATGCATGGCTGTGGTGAAAATGTGCAGTTTGTGTTGCACTGCAGACCACATGTCTGGGTAGCAAGTCAGCAAATGATAGGTCAAGTTCAAAAGCTTCATCCAGATACAGCTATTATGTTTTAAAAATCACAGCTATTGATCTGAACTATTTCAGTTCAGAGCCAGGTCTCATAGAAACATTACAGGAGCAAGGAGCTCTTACGTTTGCCAGAGCACAGCTGGCCCAGCACCAGCCCAGCAGCCAGGAGGGGTCTGCACATCACCAAAACCCCTCAGGCTGAGGTGGCTCTGTGCAGCACCGGCTCCTGCCCTGTCCCTTTACCTGACGTTTGCCAGGGGCCCCGTGCTCTCGAAGTTGTCCCTGGAGTCAGGGCCATCAGTGGAGGATTTCCGCGCGTCCGAGTAGGAGGAGACGCTGTTGAAGCGCACCTTGTAGCTCCTGTGAACAGCCACAGCACCCAGGGTCACTCTGGGGGCACCCGCGTGCCTCTCACCCGGCTCTGGGCTCACAGGGGGGCACCAGAGCAGAGCTCAGGGCTCACAATTCCACAAGCAGGCAGAGTGGGAAGAGCAGAGGCGTGTGCTCCCTCCGGGGGTAAAGCCATAGCAGCCCCTCTGCACGCCCCAGCTGGAGCAGGAATGCTGACCCTGAACACAGGTCCTTGTCACCTGCCACTGTGCTGGCCCAGCTGCTGGCCACCACAATGACCAGAGCTGCCAGGACCTTTGGCTTTCCCTGCCCTTCCCTGGCAGCACACAAGGTCGGGTGTGTGTCTGAAGAGATATTCTGAGGTTGCTTCATTCATAGGAAGTGGGAAATTAAAAAAAAACCCATGGAGTGAGAGAAGAAGGGGTGAGGAGGGGGAAGGGGAGCAGAGGAAAAAAAAATAAAATCTGACAACAGCAGAAGTATTTCTGAATTGAGCCATCTCCCAAAATTGCTCCTCACAAGAGTTTCTAAATTTACAGGCAGAGCAGTGAGCAGTGCTGCGTGCATGAGTCACGGCACAGCTCCTGCAGCCGGCATGGCACGGCATGGCACGGCCCGAGCCAGTCACAGCCGGGTCACAGGGCCCCAGTGCCACCTCTGCCCCTCAGCCACTCCCTCTCCCTATCCTCCACGCTCTTCTGCTCCTCCACCATGCTGGCCCTGGCCATGGCCTCCCTCCCCGGCCTCCGAGGTGCCCCAAGCTCATCCTGCAGTGTGAGGGATTTTCTGCAATCCAGGCTCTGTTCAGGGCAGCAGAACCCTCTGGATCAGAGGGACACAAAGCCCACATTGCCCAGGTGGGTGCTGGGCCAAGGTTGGGACAGCAGCTGGAATGAGAAGTGTGGGATGGATGGGCTGCACTTCAACAGCAGGCTTGGAATAGGAATGGCTTAGGAATGCTTTGGGAAACCCTTGGGAAACCCTTGCTCAGGAGCCAAATACCAAGCCCAGCACAGCCTCAGGGCTGTGGGCAGAGAGCCCTGACAGGCTCCTGTGACACTGTCACACTGGGAGGCCACCCTGCCCTGAGGGGTCTCAGCATTCCCTGGGGAGCTGGGACTCCATGGGCTGCTCTCCTGCTCTCTCCAGGTGTCTTTAACCAGGCTGACACTGTCCCTCTCCCCCCACAGCCTCCTCCACGTCTCCTTTTCTCATTGCAAAAGGTTTTTTGTGTGCTTGATGTTAGCAAGTCCTGGATATGGTTTGGGGCAATCCCAAAAAGAGAAGCTGTGGGTCCCTGGAAGTGTCCAGGGCCAGGCTGGAGGGGGCTTGGAGCAGTCTGGGGCAGTGCAGGGTGTCCCTGCCTGGCTCTTAGAAACTCCTACCAGCCCTTAAATCACACCTGGAGGTGTCTGGGACAGCTCAGGGGCTTTTAACCTCCTCAGATCTGCCAGACCAGCCATGGGCAGCACCTCTGCAGCTGAGGAGAAGATCCTTGGGGTGAGAACCACGTGTGGAACGCCCCTTCTCCATGCCCACCCCTCCAGGGCAGCTCTGTCATACCAGCCATGGGCAGCACCTCTGCAGCTGAGGAGAAGATCCTTGGGGTGAGAACCACGTGTGGAATGCCCCTCCTCCAGGGCAGCTCTGTCACTGTCCCCACTGGGACACGAGGCCATGAGGAGCCTGGTGGGTTTTCAGCTGCAGGGATCCCTCAGCTGCCCTGGCTGCTCAGCAGGGCCAGCTCTGGAGAGCCACAGCCTGGTCCCTGTGTTTGTCCCCACAGTGACACTGCCCTGAGTCAGGGTGCTGGAATTGCCCTGGATCCCTCCTGAATTGAGGAGCAGCCCTGTGCCAGTTGTCAGCTCAGGAGACAATCCAGGGCACAGCAGTGACCCAGTTCAGGGAAATCTTTTATTCTTCACAGCTAAAATAAGAGGAGACCCCAAACGATCATTGTCACTGCCCTCCCTTCCTTCCCCCCCTGGGTTCTGCACAAAGCTCATCCTCCCCTGAAGGGGGATTTTCTACAATCCCAGATTCTGTCTCCAAGGTAATGGTTACAAACATCACAGGATTATCACAGCTCTAATTTTCCCTAGAAATCTTTTCACACCATGCATGGAGCTAAATCTGGTTCTCCCGCCCTCCCCCACCTACATCTGCAAGGCTGGGAACTCCCTCCTACCTCCAACTCTTACTATTTTGGTGCCTCCTGGACAGGCCCTGGCACTCAGAATATATGATTTTGGGGAAATTCCTATTTTAATTTGTTTTTTTCACAGATTCCTGCCTCTTCAAGATGAAGAGAGAAGCTTTAAAGTGTCACCCCAGGGAATTACAAGCTGGCATCCACAGGCACCCCTGAATCTGTGCTTTTGTCCTCCCTGGGAGCTCCAGTCTCTCCATTCCCTGGGTCTCCAGGCAGGTCCCATTCCTGGATATTTGCAAATGTGAGACCTGCCCAAGGATTTTCCACTCCCCTGTGAGAGGAGGAAGGCAGGGAACTGTCCTGCATGCTGGGGTTTGGACTGGGAGGGGACAGGCTTGGAGTGGGAGGGGAAGGGGTTGGAGTGCTCTTACTTCCTCTCCTCCAGGTTGGAGTTGGGATTCTTCATCTCCATTAATGCACAGCCGAATTTCTACAGAGAAAGAACAAAAAAGGCCATCAGTTTTGCCAGGTTTTGCAGGAAACCAAGCCCTGAGCACAGCCTGGGCCGTGGCTCTGCTCCCTGCTCGCTGCTCCCAGCTGCCCAGGTCACAGCCAGGGGACTGTCACCTTCTGTGTGACACTGCTGGTGGTCACACAGGACAAACTGAACCATGGCTCAGTGGCTGTGTCACGGCAGGGAACCAGGAGATGTCCCTGCTCCAGAGCAGGCTGCGGGCAGCTGCAGCACCTGGACCTGTTTTGGGTCCTTCCAGCTCAGTCTGAGCCAAACGAGGACGTTCCTGGCCCTGTCCCCTGCTGTCCCCTGCTGTCCTACCTCTCCGTTCTCAGGCGGGTCCCCGTTGCCAAAGGTGCTGGTGACCACCAGGACCATGGTCTCGTGCTCCAGGTGCACCACGTCGTACTCGTCCATGGACATCACCTGGGGGCACAGAGAGGTCACAGAGAGCTGGGAGCCTCCTGGGCTGGCTGGGGCTGGGGACAGCACGTCCCTGCTGACACCTGTGCACGGGGAGGGTGGGAACAGCAGCCTGGAGGGACAGGGGCGGCCATGGGGCTGCCACCCCAGGGCCACAGCTGCAGTCACTGCAGGAAATCAGGGATTTGCTCCACCCCAGACCCACAGGGGCACACCCTGAAGGCCCCTGGCAGCTGTTTTCACACCAGGATTTCACACCCGCTGTGTGTCAGGAGCTGGTGCCATACCTTGGCATCGAAGGCGTGTTTGAAGATCTCACAGAGGGTTTTTGCATAGACCTGGGACTTCCCCGTTTCCGTGGCGTACAGGATGGTGGCCTTGACCCTCTTGGCCATGGCTTGGCCCATCAGCTTGGCTGAGAACTTCACAGCCCTGGGAAGCAGGAATAAATAAATCCCAGTCAGAGCCTGGTCCTGACCCGTGCCTCTAGACCTTTTTATTCCTTATTAAATGAACAGCCTTACAAAGCTGTAGCGTCAATTTTTTGGTTGTCACATGGCAAACAGGGAAGCCTTGGAAGAGCTGAACTTGTCAGAGAGGAAGAGGAGATGGGGGAGCTTGAACAGAGCTCAAATACCTGGATGGGGTGAAGGAGGAAAATACTAAACCAGGATGGGGGTGGTATTTCTGCAAGGGCACAGAAGCAGGAGAAAAATCAAGGGCAGGAAAAATAAAAAAGGGAAGGGAAGGGAAGGGAAGGGAAGGGAAGGGAAGGGAAGGGAAGGAAAGGAAAGGAAAGGAAAGGAAAGGAAAGGAAAGGAAAGGAAAGGAAAGGAAAGGAAAGGAAAGGAAAGGAAAGGAAAGGAAAGGAAAGGAAAGGAAAGGCTGGAACCAACCATAGCTGGAGCTACAGGAGGAACAGCAGATCCTCCATCCCTTAAATCCAACCCAGCCCTGCTCCACACAGAGTCTGGGGACCCCGAGGTCACACCCAGCTGTCCCAGTGCCTGTGGTTTGCACTCTGGTGACATCCAGACCTCACACATTTATCCCAGCCTTGTGGCTCTTTCCCGTGCCTCAGCAGTGCCTGGGGGCTTTTCCTCCAGGTTTCCCCACTGGCCCAGGGCACACAGAGGGGCCCTGGGGGTCCCCAGCCTCTCTCCAGTCCAGGCCCAGGTGATGCAGCACCAGGAATGCTGATTCCTTGTCCGTGGCATCACTGGGGGCAGGGGTTGTGGGTTTGTTGTTTTAGGGACATTCACAATCACATCAACAATGTTCTTCCTACATGCTGAACATTTTTTTCCTAAGTGGACCAGCAAGCCTTTACATGGGGCCACCAGAAAGGCAGAAATCCATCAGGTCTGGATCTAGGCTGCTGTTGCAACAGGGAAAGGTGATTTTTGGGAGGCTGAAGGAGCACAAAGCATCTCGGTGGCCTCTGCGGGAGGAAGGGCTGCCTGATTCACTTTGACAGCCCTTGCCCAAGGTTTCTGAGTTCAGCAGGGTTCCTGCAGCCCCTTCAGAGGAGCTGTGGGGCACAGAGGCTGCAGCTGGAGTGCTCACACTGGGCAGGAGGGGTCCAGCTTCCCCCTGCCCCTCCTGCCCAGAAATACTCTGCTTTTGGGGAATCATTTAGGGAGGACAAAAAGAGGAAAGAAGAGGCAGAAACTCCTCCAGGCTGGTTTATCCTGCCTGCCCCTGGCAGCTCCTCTCCACGGCAAGGTCAGCCTCAGGAACATTTCTGTTTGCTGCTGCACCACCACCCTCAGGGAAGTTCTGCCCTTTGTCATCCCGTGGTGGCAGTGTCCCCTGTCCCCAGGAGCTGCGCTGGCCCAGGGCAGGGACTGCAGGTCTGAAGGCTCAGATTTGGCCAGATTTTTGAATTTGAGCAGGCACCAAATCATGCTCAAGGCTCTGGGCTCAGGCTGACTCTTCTACAGCTGATAAGCTCAGATCCAGACAGGATTAATGGTGAATTACAAAAACAATTCCTTTCCCTACACCAGGAACAATGGAGATTTTCTTTTAAATGACCTGCCACGCTCACATTTTTATAAAACCATCCCTCAATGGGGCAGAGGGGAGCAATAAAAGCATTTTTTCTCCAAACTCCATGAATCCTCCTGCTCTTCCCCCGGCCCCAGTGTCAGCTGCAGGAGCACATTCCTCAGCTGCTCTCCTGTTTATGGATGCACCACAGAGAGCAGCTTGCAGGAGGTGACAGCTGAAGAGTGGGAACAAATTGATAGCAGGGATTTGGGGAAAGTGAAGCGTGGGGAGATGCAGGAGGAGCCGGGGCCACCTGGCAGCCTGGCTGCCATCACCAGGGCACACCCAGCCTGCTCCTGCCTTGGCCCAGGGCTGGGCTGCCACAGAACCAGCAGCTCCTCCTGCCAATGGCCCCAGGGGGAGGAATTTGGGCCAGAATCAGCCAAAGGGTCCAAACTGAGCTCCATTCCTGCATTCTGCTGCTGAGGAGCCTTGGCAGGGAAGAGGGACTGGGGTGGCCCCTTGCCAGGGGTCAACTGACCATGAAGTGCAAATCTCAGCCCAGCCCTGATCCATCTGCTGCCTGCAGGGAGATCCCTCCTTCCCCTCTCCCCCCTTCCTTCCAAAGCAGGTGTTTGGAGGGTTGGGCACACACTGGGGGCAGGTTCTCCTCACGTAGGGAAAAGTCAGTGGGAAAAGGAGGAATATGGACAGGAGTTTGATCTCGTTAGTGCCAGCACAGCCCTGAAGGGGGAGGGGGGATCTTCCTGCCCCAGTGAAAGGAAAAATGGTCAAAACACCCTCAAAAAGTGGGAAAGCCATCCCTGAGCATCAAAACCTCCTAAGCAGAGAATGAACAGCTTGGGAGAACAAACAATAGCCAAGATCTGGTGTTCACCTGGTCACACCCCTTTTGGTGGTCTGAGGGGGTGCTCAGAGGACTGCCTGTGTCCCCAAATGTCCCTCCTGGCAGGTAAAGCCTTCAGTGACCCAAAGCCCAGGCTCAGAGCCCATCTGTAGGGTGATGCACACACCCACAGGGTGCCTAAACCCAGGACCAGCCCCAAACATTCCAGGCCTTTCCAGAGCCTGCTGGTACTCACTTTGCCAGCTTCTTAAAGCCAATGGCCCTCTTCTTGGTGGGTGTCCCATTGACCCCTTTCCACACGTGGGTGTTCCAGGGGTCCGGCTAGGAGAGGGAAAAGCAGGATCAGAGGGTGGGGAGTGCTCAGAGCTTGGAGAAATGCAGCATCCACAGCACTGAGAGTTAAATTTTTTCCAGTCAGAAAAGGGAGGAATAGCTGCTAGTGCACAGCTCTCCTTCTCCTTTCTATGTCCCTGATCCTTGGAGCCTTGTGGGGTTTTTTTTTCTGGGCAATGGAACATGCCCAGGAAAATTGCAATCTAATAAACCCTCCTGGCTTGTAGCAGCATCTGGCCAATTGCTCTGTCACCTCTCGAGAGGAGCGTTAATAGGCCACAGCCAAAAAGAAGACAACGCCAGAAGGGGAGAGGTGATGGAAACAGATCCTTTCCCTGCTCTGGCCACAGGTTTTTTCCCTGAGAGGCCCTTTGGGAAGGGGAGGCAGCTGAAGGCAGCAGCGAGCACAGAGCTCATTCCGTGCCCTTGCAGGCTGCAGTCAGAGCCAGGAAGCAGCGGGGTGCCTGGTGGGCTGCTTACAGGAGCGAGCAGACTGCTCCTGCTCGGGATTGCTCCTGAAGGGCTCTCACTAAAGGTCACATTGTGTGGGAAGCAGCGGAGCGGGGCTGGCTGCACACGGGGCAGGGTCTGCTCGGGGCTTTTCCTCACGGCCTGAGAGCAAAGAGCCCAGTGTGATCCCTGCGGGGCTGGAGCCCTGTCCCTCTGCGGGACCCCTGGGGGCAGGAGCCATCCTCGCAGCCCCGCAGGCGGGGATGGGGTGTGGGGTGTGGGATTTGGGATATGGGATATGGGGTATGGGGTATGGGGTATGGGGTATGGGATATGGGATATGGGATATGGGATATGGGATATGGGATACAGGAGCCATCCTCACAACCCTGCAGGCTGCGATGGAGTGTGGGGTGTGGGGTGTGGGATATGGGGTATGGGATATGGGGTATGGGGTATGGGGTATGGGATCCAGGAGCCATCCTCACAGCCCCGCAGGCGGGGATGGGGTGTGGGGTGTGGGATATAGGGTATGGGATATATGGGATGTGGGATATGGGGTATGGGATATGGGGTATGGGATATGGGATATGGGATATGGGATGTGGGATATTGGATATGGGATGTGGGATATGGGATATGGGATGTGGGATGTGGGGTGTGGGATATGGGATGTGGGATGTGGGATGTGGGATATGGGGTATGGGATATGGGATATGGGATATGGGATGTGGGATATGGGCTATGGGATATGGGGTATGGGATGTGAGATCCAGGAGCCATCCTCTCAACCCTCCAGGCTGGGATGGGATACAGGAGCCTTCCAGGCCATTTCCTCACCCACCCATTAGGCACTTCCAAAGTGTGATTAAAAACTGGGAGCTCAGCTGTCCCATGGAGGGGCAAACCCCCATGATTACACCATGATAGGGTGAAATATCCATTGTGAAGGAATTGGATGCTGTCCCTCTCCTTCCTGCACCTCCCGAGCTCCCTCTCCCACCCCGCCCTTGGCCACAGGCCGGGTGGAGGGCGGAGGTGGGGACAGCACCTGGTACTCAAAGGAGGGCGTCAGGCGGTAGTTGAGCATCTCCTGGTGGAAGACGGGGGTGATGCTGCCCGACATGGGCGGGACGATCCAGACCCAGTCGGCGGGACAGCCCCCCCGGCACCGGTACTCGTTCTCCATGTGCTTGATGAAGGACTCGGTGGCCGAGTGGTGATCCACGATGGTCACCTTGTCACTCTGTGGGGGGACAAGAGAGCAGAGCCAGCAGCTGTCAACACATCCCAGAGGGGAAAAGCCATAATTTTATGTTTGGAGCTGTTTGTCCCAAATATTCCTTACTCCCGTGGTCTTTGGGGATGATCCAAAGGTGGCTGCTGACGCTGGGCTGCCCAAGGGGGCTCTAAAGTGCTTTGGGAATAGATGTGCTGTGGGAGCCCCCTGTCCTGGCCAAGCAAAGATGGGATGGATGGGATGGGGCATCCTCTGCTCGGAGCCCTGGGAAGCTCTTCCAGCGGGGCAGCTCCGACCCCGCTCTGGGAAGGACTCTCACCCCTTAAAGCTGGCTGGCCAAGGTCTGCTTTTGTTACTCAGCCTTTAGGGGCAGGCTGGGGGAGAGCCTGGGCCAGCTCCTGCCTCATGGATGGGTCAGAAGGGCTGGATTTCCCCCCTGTTGGGATATTCCTTCTGGACCAGCAGGACTCAGGTGCTGGTTTTACAATGTCCAGTGTGTGGAGATTATTAAATCTCACTGCAGCAGCCCAAATTCAGGAGGCACAGCCCAAATTCGGGAGGCACAGCCCAGTTTCAGCCATTGTCCTTGGGTGGATGTCCCCACACTTGTCCCACCCTGTCCCTGTGTCCCTCCAGCTGGCCCGGGCGAGGCAGGGTGTGAGGTACCTGGAAGCTGTAGAGCACAGCGATGTTGATCTCCACCAGGGCCTGGTCCTTCCACAGCGAGGACGTTTTCCTCATATCCAGGTTCATTTTCTTGGCCACTTGCTGTAACAACACGTGGCAGGAGGGGAGGGATTTAATGGCCAAAAAACAAGCACTGGTGAGCTCTGCTTGGGGAGAGGAACCCAGAGGAGAGGCCCAGGCTGGCACAAGGCACCCACAGGGCAGGGAAGGGCTGATGTTGTGCCTTCCTCTGGGAAGAAATCCTGCCTTTTCCTCTCCATGGCAGGAGCATGGCCTTTCCTTCTCCCTGAGCATTGGTGGCCAAATGCTGCTGAGGAGGCCACCAGAGCAGCTGGACACTCACACTGCTCCCACCCCGCTGGTTTTCAGGAGACTGGGGAGGGACACAGCCCCTCTAAATAACCCAGCCTTCCTTTGGAGGTTTTGATGGATCCAGACCCCTGCACTGGCATCTTCCCGTGGCTTGGCTTTGCCTCTCCCAGTGTGAGCATTCCCTGAGCCGTGGGACCAGCGGGAGGGTCCCCAAGGGCACACACGTCCCTGAGGAGCCACCAAGGGTCTCTGCACCCTTTCATGTTTCAGCACTTGGCCTCAAACTGAGCACAAGAACCAGTGGCTGCTGATCCCTAGGATTCTTTGGGAAGCCTGTGGGAAGCTCCACAGGGATCACACTGGCTGTGTCAGACACCTGCTGGCCCCACAGGACACAGAGACCTTGCCAACCTTGGCCATGTGGCTCCAGGAGAATTCACAGACTCACAGAATCACTGGGCTGGAAGAGACTTTGAGATCATCGAGTCCAACCCAGCCCCAACACCTCACCTAAACCCTGGCACCCAGTGCCACATCCAGGCTTTGTTAAACACACCCAGGGGTGGTGACTGCACCACCTCCCTGGGCAGCCATTCCAGAACTTCATCACTCATTCAGTAAAAACTTTTTCCTAATATCCATCCTAAATTTCCCTTGAGGCAGCTGGAGGCTGTGTCCTCTGGTTCTGTCAGCTCCTGGAGAAAGAACAGCTGAGCACAGGCACCTTTCAGGAGCTGTGTAGAGTGATAAGGTCACCTGAGTCTCCTTTTCTCCAGGCTGAGCACCCCCAGCTCCCTCAGGGGTTCCTCTCAGGGTTTGTGTTCCCAGCCCCTCTCCAGCCTCGTTGCCCGCTCTGGACGCGCTCCAGCCCCTCAATGTCCTTCCCAAACGGTGGGGCCCAGAACTGGACCCAGAAGGGCTATCCTGTGCTCTCCCAGCGTCCTGCCTGCTCCCCAGTAAGCCCAGAGCTGTGAGCACAGCAGCAGGAGGTACCTCCAGGATGTTGTAGCGGGAGTTGTCGCAGTAGTCGCGGACGCCGATCTCCGTGCCCATGTACCAGCCGCTGAAGGGGCAGGCGGAGAACTCCAAGCCCCCGATCTCCAGGAGCATGTTGGAAACGGCTGGCAGCCCATACCACTTCAGGCCCAGGTCCTTAAACCACTCAAACCTGCCGGGGAAAAGGTCAGGATTAGGCAACCAGCCAGGAGCTCCCTTCCCAGTGCAGGCAGGGGGATGAGGGAGGTCACTTGGCCACCAGGGTGAGGGACTTGAGCAGAACATTTCCATCAGTACCTCTCTTCGGGGCTGTTCATGGGGACAGGGTGATTATGGAGGGGTGTAGTCCCTGGGAGACTTCAAGGGAAAGGAAATTTTCCAAGAAAATCCATCTGACTATATGGGAAAGCCCTGAGACATGGACACAACTTCCCTGCCAGCTCTGCCAACTTCCCTGGAGGGAAGACCTGGGAGAAGGTCTTGGGTGAAGCCCCCAGGCCATGGCAAGGGTGGAACGAGGGGAACTCAGTCCTGCTGGTCCTCTGGAGCTGGGAGACTTCAAGGGAAAGGAAATTTTCCAAGAAAATCCATCTGACTATATGGGAAAGCCCTGAGACATGGACACAACTTCCCTGCCAGCTCTGCCAACTTCCCTGGAGGGAAGACCTGGGAGAAGGTCTTGGGTGAACCCCCAGGCCATGGCAAGGGTGGAACCAGGGGAACTCAGTCCTGCTGGTTCTCTGGAACAGTTTTGGGGCTGCCCTGACTCACTTGGGGTGTCGGATGGGCACTTCCAGCACGAGCTCTGGCGGGATTTCGAAGAGCTCGGGGTCGTTGCCGTTGGCTTGGAGGAGCAGGGGCAGGATATCGAAGCGCCCGTACGGAGCCTTCCAGCCTTGCTGGATGCAGATCTGCGGGGAAAACAAAGGCAGGGTTGGTGTCCCAGCAGGTCACCTGCTCTTCAGGGAATTTCGTAGTGCTGGGCACAGCTCCTGGCAGGATTTCTGTCCTTATCGCTGAGCAAAGGGAGCTACAACAGGGGGTGGCCTGTCCCAGCCCATCCATGGCCAAGTCAGGGGAATCTCAGCTTCAAATGAGCCTGGAATCGATCCCCAGTAGGATCATGGCTTGTGCCTGCAGTGGTGAAGGAAAAAATGGGTGAGAAAAGCAGAAAAGTGACAAAACCCAGCCTTTACTCCTGGGGAATTAAACCTGAGGGTGACACAAACCCAACCTCCCCAGGTGGGGCCGCACTGGACAATCCCAACCTGCTTGACCCAGCTCCTCCTGCCTCTGGGGGTGCCCAGAATTCTTGTGTGTCCCCAGCAGGCACGGGAAGAGCGGGTTTAATGTGGGAAATGGATCTGTAGAGAGTTCTCAGGGGCTGACAGAAGGCCCACAAAGTGTGCATCTGTGTGCAAACCTTGAGATAAGAAATGCTGACTTGGAAATGCCATGGAATAGGACAGAAATTGTTGGGAGAGAAATGGGGCTAGAAACAAGTTTCAAAGATGACCTTGCAAATAAAACTGGATACTTTGGAGGAAGAGAACTATGAAAGATGCATTGTAGTGGGACCCACGAGGGGTAGTTTGAGATTATTGCCTTTAAGGCATTTACAGCAAGGTGTGGCAAAAGCTGATAGGCCAAGAAATGCTTATAGTGTATTGTAATTAGAAAATAATAAGATTCTGATTGTGATGGTGTGAATTATAACTTCTGTATTGTCTCACCCTTCTCATGAGACTGAAAATGGAATAGAAGTTCTTCAAACACCTCTCAGCTGCCCCATCTCTCATTTATGGGGACAAGGTGATTATGGAGTGATGTAAGCCCTGGGAGGCTTCAAGGAAAAGGAAACTTTCCAAGGAAATCCATCTGGATACACGGGAAAGCCCTGAGACACAGACACAACCTCCCCGCCAGCTCTGCCAGCTTCCCTGGAGGGAAGACCTCGGCGAGGGTTTTGCGTGAAGCCCCCAGGCGTGGCAAGGGTGGAAAAGGGTCGGGAAGGGCACTGTCCCCGGGGCTGGCACCTCGGTGAGCTCCACGTTGGCGGGGTCCCCCAGCACGGAGCCGTCGGGCTGTTTGTAGCCGGCGTAGCGGATCAGCTGCGCGTTCCAGATGCGGAAGTCGTGCTTGCTGTCCGTGCGCTGCGGGAAGATGGTGATGGCAGACCTGGAGGGGAGAGGCAGCGCTGGTGAACGCCCGAGATGAGGGAGGAAAAGTGCTGCCACCGCCTCTGGGTGTGCCCCGAGTGAGTCCCTGAGAGCTGGTACACTCGTGGCTCTGGAATTTGGGTGTTCCCAGCTCCTGGCTGCTAGCAGGGGGGTCCAGACGGATCTGGAGAGTGGTCTGAGCTCTGTGCTGGATGCAGAATATGGGAAAGGGGAAATAATGGGAAAATCTTCCCTCTGAGGTCTCACAGGCAGCAAGGAAAGACTTGGACCAGCAGGACTCCTCCTGCTGACCCCAGGTCAGGTCCCTCTAACCCTTCCCGGGACTGCTGCTGCCTGTGCAGTGCCTGACCCAACTCCAGCAGGGCCCAGAAGCTGGTCTCCACTCATCCAGAGGCCCTCGGATTCAAAGCCTGGTGAGTCCCTGGTGGCTCACCTGAGGTTCCCCTTGTTGGTGGCGTACTTGATGTGGTTGCAGATGTAATTGAACATCCCGTGGGCCGTGGTGCAGTCCCGGGCATCAAACACCTGGAAGAGGGAAGCAATTGTGGGGATGTTCCAGCTCCTAGGGCAGAGCCAGGCAGAGGAAACACAGCACATGGAGAACTCCAGGCACCACTGTGGCTTCTCAGGGATCCAAAGCTCCGTAATTATGTGTTCCCTGCCTTTGGAACACGTGGATGTCTAATCCAGCTGCCCCTTTTGCTTTGGAGAGGTGACTCATCTGCTGCTCAGGCAAAAACCTCCTCATTCCCGTGCTCCCAACCTGCTGCTGCTCCTGCCTCATCCCCCAACAATTACAGATTCTGCTCTGCTTCTCTTGTAGATCAGCACTCAAAGCTGGAGCAGGACAGGTGTCAGCCAGGGCTGAGGGACAGGGAATCACGGAATCATGGAATGGTTTGGGGTGGGACTTTTAAAGAGCATCTCATTCCATCCCCTGTCCGTGGTAAGGACACCTTCCACTAGTCCAGGGTGCTCCATCCAGCCTGACCTTGGACACTTCCAGGGATCCAGGGGCATCCATGAAAGCATGGGGAAATCAGGAAGGGGGATCAACAGAAGTGGCTGTGCCCATTCCCTGTGTGAGGCAGCCACAGGAGCTGCTCAGCAGCTCTGGATTTGTTCCAGGTTACAGGAGAGGACAGCTCTGTACCAAGGGATTCCCTCGGGATCACTGATTTCCAATCCTGTTCTGTGTTTCCCTTGCCAAAAGGGCACTGAGCCAAATCCTCCCCTGCTGGATCTCAGTACTGAGGACAAATGTGTCCTGCTGCCTCTCTCCAGGTGGAGCAACAGGTTTGGAAGCAGCAGGAAAGATGTTGGAGCAGGATCTGATATTGGAAAACATCCTCTGGAGCACCAGCTTCCATTTCAGACACAGCCACCTCATCTCCCATGCCACAGACACTTTTCCAGCTCCTGCCAACATCCTGGAGCTGCTGAGGGGAGCTGTGTGTGCTGAACAGCTGCCCCTGGACCTGTGCTGTGCTTCCCAGGTGCTGGAGAGCAGGATTTGCCTCTCCAGAACTCCAGCACACCCTTTGGCAGGAACGCCCGGGGTGTTCCTGGTGGGATTGGTGCTCACCTGCAGCTTGGACCACTGGATCCTGCCCACGCAGCGCGCCGCGTTCCTCCAGGCGTGCTTGGCCCCGTAGATCAGCTCCGTGTCCCGCAGCTGGTAGGTGTCAGTGGCCTCAATCTCCTTGGTCACCTCCTCCAGCCTCTCCATGTGGGCCTTGGAGCCGGATCTGGGAGGGTTGGGAGCAGAGGAGGTGGAGGGTCAGGCAGGGAATGCTGCTGCTCTCCACCTGGAACGCCTTGTTCCTACACTTACACAGCGACTGTGGGGATGGCTATCCCAGATTTGGGATAACAGCGGGGCAAGGATCAGGCGGAGAGGACAGTGGCTTGTGCAGAGACACAACAAACACCAGGAGTGAAACTCTACTCAAGAAGCAGCTGCTGAAGGAGCACCAGGGCCTCCCCCTGCTGTGACTTGCATGGGTGGGAGATCAGATCATGGAGTCATGGAATGGTTTGGGTGGGAAGGGACCTTAAAACTCATCCCATGCCCCCCCTGCCATGGCAGGGACACCTCCCACTGTCCCAGGCTGCTCCAAGCCCCAGTGTCCAGCCTGGCCTTGGGCACTGCCAGGGATCCAGGGGCAGCCACAGCTGCTCTGGGCACCCTGTGCCAGGGCCTGCCACCATACAGGGAACAATTCCTAATTCCCAATATCCCATCCAGCCCTGCCCTCTGGCAGTGGGAAGCCATTCCCTGTGTCTCTTTCCTCCATCCCTTGTCCCAGGTCTCTCTCCATGTTTCTTTTTGCCTCCTTCAGGCACTGGAAGGCCACAATGAGGTCACCCCAAAGCTTCTCTTTTCCAGGTTGAACAATCCCAAATCTCTCAGTCTTTCCTCCAACAGAGCTGCTCCATCCCCCTGATCATCCTCTGGACTCTCTCCAGCAGCTCCAGCTCCTTCCTGTGCTGGCCCCAGGGTGGAGGCAGCTCTGGGTGACCTGTGTGACATCCCAGCACCAGCAGCAGCCTCGGGCTGAGGCAGCACTCACCTCTTTATGGAGGAGTAGTACTGGTCAATGAAGTCCTTGGCCAGGAGCAGCACCTCCTCCTTGGTCCTGGTGTCCTCTGACTTGCGGATGTGGGGGCTGGGCGTCATCACGGAGCCCATGCAGATCTGCTCGGTGCACGCCGTGGCCTGAGGGGACAGGAGGAGCAGGAGTGTCCTGAGACACCACGGCACTGCTGAGCTGGGCTGGGGCACTCAGCGATCACCCACACAGAGGCGGTGGTGTCTGACCAGGGACACTGAGTGGTGACAGCCAGGCCGTGTGCAGTCACCACTTGTCCCTCCTGATGCAGACAATGGAGAGATGGGATTCACACCCCGGCTTGGCATGAAGTCAAATGCTTTTCCTTGTTTAGCCCAGATGGATTTCCCTCTCTCTGTTTATTGCACCAGATTTGAAATTCAAACCCTATGGAGTGTCTGAGGTTGGAAGGTGTAGCTGGGGTCTGTATTCAATTTGCCACCTGTCAGAGCTGGGGCAGTTCTCTGCTGTTCATGGGCAGTTTTCTTTATCTCTCCCACAGCCAATCCTCCCTCCAGGAGATCTCTGCTGTCCATGGCCACTGAGTGTCCCTGCAGGGCTGATCAAATTCCAGCATCCCATGGGAGATGCTGTGCCCAGGGCAGGAGCCAAGCATTCCTACCTGGATCCAATCTGAGCCTGGAACAGCCCAGCAGCCTTTGTCCACTGCATTCCCAGAGGAGCAGCTTTCTCCTGCCCTGCATTGCCAGAGGAAGAGCAGGCCCATCTCCAGCAGCCCTGGAGCTGCAGAGGAAAACTCCCCCCTTGTGCAGGATCCCTGCTCCAGCAGAAGCACAGCTGGCACTGCAGGAGGGCTGAGCCCCCCTGGGATGGGACTGTGCCACCACCCTGACCCACAGGGGGACAGCTCCTCTTCTGACTCTGCCAATGTTGTTTTCTGTTTGTACTATTGCATTTGTATTTTTAATTCTCCTAGTAAAGAACTGTAATTCCTACTCCCATATTTTTGCCCAAGACCCCCTAATTTCAAAGTTATAACAATTCAGAGGGAGGGGGTTTGCATTTTCCATTTCAGAGGAGGCTCCTGCCTTCCTTAGCAGACACCTGTCCTTTCAAACCAAGACATGAATTCCTCCACTTCTGCATTCCTGGGTAAATCCACCTTGGAAACAGCACCATCCACTCAATGATGCTCAGGGAGTTGTGGCCAGCTCTACTCACCATGGCAGTCTTGAGGTGCAGGGTGTCGTGGAGCACGGAGCCCGTCTCCCAGTTCTTGATTTTCACGAAGCGGGGGCATTTGGAAGGGCTCCCGTTGGGGGCGTTCTTGGTCGGGGACTGGCGCCCGGATGGCGGCGGCTGGAAAAGAGGGAACACCCAGCACAAGGTCAGAACTCATCAGCAAAACGCAGGAAAAGGTGCCAACAGCTCAGCCTTGTGTATGGCTGGATGGCTGGGTGCAAATTCCGGGGTGGCACAGCCAGACAAGGGGCGTAATCCCAATATTTGGTGTTATTTGGGATCCTACAGCAGAGCCACTGACTCACAATGGAATTAAGAAGTCATGTCTGGTTACATGGGACATTTGGGACAGCCAAATCTGTGGGAAATGAATTAAAATCAGAGCTGGAAGTGACTTGGAGAATGTTGTGTTCAAGTTTCCCGGAGGAAGACTCTCCTCCAAAACCTGTGGGGTGTTTCTTCCCAAGGAGCATCACCTGCTCAGGTTCTGCAGGTGCCAAGCTGTGCCTGGAAGAACAAAGAGCTGAGCATCAATCTGAGCAAGCCAAAGGCACAGCTCCTCTGATGCCGGTGCAGGGAAGCTTGGAGGGGTGAGGATGGATGGATTATCCAAGCGGGGGGGCTGCTGAATCATGAGTAGCTGGATTTCTCCAGCCTCAGCTCCCTGACACTGCCTTGGATGGGCTCATCCAGCTCTCCTTGAGTTCTGTGCCAGCACGGGGAGAGGCTCAGCCAGCACAGAGCCTGTGAGGAGCAGAACTGGTTACAGGTGCTCCTTTTTGCACATTTTCACAGATAAAACTGCAATTTTCTGCTGTGGCCCTTACCCCAATCACTCAAAGCTTCAAGAGCCATCAGTGTCTGCCAGTGGGGCCAGGGGAGGCTGCAGTGGCTCTGGGCAGCAGAGCTCTGTCTCCTCGGAATCAGATCTTACACAGGGATGGAATTCCATCACTGGAACCACTGCAGCTCTCCAGGGGACATCTGAGAGCGTCCTGGCCAAAGCTGCTGGTGCTTGGCACCACTCCAAGGCTCTGCACAGCAGCTCTGGGCTGGGACTGGGTCTGTCCTTCCTGCAAGAACCCTGGGGCTGGTGTCCCTTTTGAATTAATCTGGTTTTCTTGACGCTGACCCTGCCTTCTGCAGAGTGTCACCTCCTTTCTGGGGCTCCTGTCACCCCTGCAGCAGCAGCACAAACTTAAAGAAGCAAAGAACCAGCACAGGGTGGGATCCTCCTGGCTCAGGAGGGAAGGCAGCAGGAGCCACAGGCATGACAGAGCAGCTGAGGCTGCAGGTCTGACTGGTTCCCACTTCACCAGGGATTGCTCTGCTGTTCCAGTGCTCTGGGACATCAATCCTGGCTGACTCCAAGGCCGAGGCCTGGGCTGAGCAGGCACCTTTGCATTTTCTAGCACTCTTGGCCAGACTTTTTGCTCAGTTCTTGTTTTTACCATAAGCTCCAGACCTTTTTTTCCCCTGGAAAACAGGGATTTCAAGCAGCCTGAGGCTTGTGGTGTAATGCCACGCTCTGAAAACATATTCTGGGAACAAGGGACAGAGGCTGGAGGGGAAGGCAGAGATTTACAGCCTGAATCCTCAGCAGGGCCTTCTTTAGCCCTTGCAGTTTCCAAAAGCTGCTTCCTGCACCCCTCAGGCTGTGCTGCCGTGGATCTCTGACATTCCTCATGTCACAAATCCCATGATTTTCCCAAGGAATTTGTCAAAGTCTGCTCCTTGAAGCCAAATGTCCACACATCACATCTCAGCCTCCCCTTTGCACGCTGCAGAAACCGAATAAAAAACCTCATGCAGAGCTCAAACCCAGCAGTAAATAAGAACCTCCTCGATGTAGTCCTGCAAAAACACTATTTTTAAGCTCATTTTTTTCAATTTTGAGGAGTCCAGCCTGAATCATGGCAGTGACAGTTCCTGGTCATTTTTCCCCCCTGCTTGTTTTACTCTTCCAAGAGAATTGAATCATTCTTTAGTCACCAACAGCTCCCTGTGCTCCCTGACCCACCCCAAGGACCAAAGGGGACAATCTGCCACCTTCCCTCTGAGGCTGATTGCTCAGAGCAGCTCCCTGAGATGGGCAAAATGTGCTGCAAACAGCTCAGAAATGCAACCAAAACCAATCCTCACCTGCAGCTCCACCTGCCAGACAGAAATCAGGAGCACCAGGCAGGGAGTGTTGATTGTACCCAGCACTTTTTAATGGGAGTTTTGATCTCCTGACAAGGTGTGGCTGCTAAAATACTTCTTGCTGGAGCAGGTACGGCCCCAAAACGTGCTGGGAATGCAGATGCAGCGATGGCCCCATTCTTGGAGAAAGTGGGGGGACGTAAGACTCAAAAATCTGGGCAAACCTGAGCCTTCAGACCTGCAGTCCCTGCCCTTCCCTGCCTGGGGCCAGCGCAGCTCCTGGGGACAGGGGACACTGCCACCACGGGATGACAAAGGGGCAGAACTTCCCTGAGGGCTGGTGCTTATCTGCCTGCAGTGCTCTGCTCAAACCCCCCCAAGCTGCTCCCTCCCATTTGTCTTTTCCCTGCTGCAGGAGCTGGGCGAGCTGCAATCCTGGAATCACAGAGTCACTGAGGTTGGGAAAGGTCTCCAAGGTGGTTGATCCCCACCTCTGGGTGAGCACCAAGCTGTCAGCTGGAGCAGAGCACCGAGGGTCATTCCTTGGACACTTCCAGGGATTAATGGGATGCCATCAATCTGTCCCAGTGTCCCAGACTGCAAGGTTAGGTGTGTGTTCTATTTGCCATCTGTATGGCAGTTGTCTTCTGTCAAGTGGGCAGTTTTCCTTATCTCTTCCACACCTGCTCCTCCCTCTGGGGGCACATCTGCTGATAACAGGCTGTGGAATGTCCCTGCACGGCTGATAAGAACCACAGCATCCACTGGGAGATGTGAGCCCAGAGGAGGAGCCCAGCATTCCTGCCTGGATAGAATCTGAGATCCTGGGACACCAGCACGGCTTCTGCACTGGATTTCCCAGAGGAGCAGCTGCCTCTTCCACTGCATCTTCAGAGGAAGACTGCACCCTTCTCCAGGATCCCTGCTCCAGCAGAACCACAGCTGGCACTGCAGGACTGCAGTCACAATTCCAATTGGATGCTACCAGCACCGTGACCAACAGGGTGTCAGGTCATGTTCTGACTCTGTCAGTGCTGTTTTGGTTTACTGCATTGTTTATTTTATCTTTTTATTTTTTCCTCAATAAAGAACTGTTATTCCTGCTCCCATATTTTTGCCTGAGAGCCCCTTAATTTCAAATTTGTACCAGTTGGGAAGGAAGGGGTTTACATTTCCCATTTCAGGGGAGGCTCCTGCCTGCCTTAGCAGACACCTGTCCTTTCAAACCAAGACATCCAGTGCCTGACTACCCTTGCCGGGAGAGCCCAGGGAGCAGAGGGATGCTGAATCCTGGGACAGCAGCCAGGCTGGAGCAGAGGTGTCAGCTCTGACAGCCCCACCCCGGAGCAGCTGCGGAGAGAAGAGGGAGCCCAGGGGAGCCGGGAAGGAGCCGTGTGTGAGTTCGTGTCGTGTGTGTGTGCCCAAATCAGAGCCGAGCACTCCCCGCCGCTGTGCCAGGGAGGCTGCGTGCGCTCCTTTCATGTTTTAATGAGGCAGCTGGGATCTCGGTGACTCAGGAGAGGGACAAGCCGAGAGACAACTGCGGCACACGCGTTATGCAAACAGCTCCCACCCGGAGCGTGCCGGAGCTGTCTGCGCCCGCGGGAGGAGCACGCCCGGCCCCGGGGACTCCTTGGGGACACGGTGACAGCGGACATGCCCCGTCCGGGCTCTGCAGGTGCCCACCCTGCGCTGGCAGCGCTCGGCTGGGTCCCACCGGGGATGCAGCGCCGGCAGCCGGGTCCTGGATTTATCTCCGCGCTGACATTTCCGTCCAGACTGCACCAGCCCGCTGGGCTCAGAGCGTGTCCCCTGCCTCTGCAGAGCTGCAAATCACCCCCGCAAGCTGCTCCGAGCCGCTTCCCCCGGAGCCGCCCGGGCACAGGGCTCCGCCTGCCCCCGGGCTGCTCACGGATCGATCCCTGCGGGCTGAGCCGGGACCCGGCACAGCCCCGGCATCCTCAGGGTTAGACCTGGGATCGGGCTGCTGGGAAACGGCAAAAAACGCCGTGTGGTTTCGTAAAAAATAACAGAGGGATGGGGATCGATGCCCAGCGGGGCTTTCAGCACCTTATTATGAGCCTCAGTGAGCATTCGCCACCTGGCCAAGCGAATCCACCCAATCCTGCTTCAAAACAACCAAGGAAAGTTCCCACTTGGCTTGACTTTCCCCTGTGTTAATAGTATTTATTGCTGCTTGAAAGAAGTTCAGCTGCCTTGACTGCACACAGCCCCGGGGAATGGCTGGGGGGAAAAACCAGACTGCTTCCAGAAAAGCAGGCGTAAGGATTCGGGGATAAGAAGGATAAAAAGAAAGCTGTGCATCCAGTGGAAAAAAAAAATAATAAAGAGTTTAATAGCAGCTTAAGACTGGCGGTTTTGGCAGCCCCAGCACAGAGAGAAATTAAGCTCTGCACACAGAAGGTTATAAAGTGCTTATAGTAACAGACACGGACACGCACGGGGCTTAGCAAAGGAGGCAGGAAATCGGAGTCTCTGCAGAGCTGGGGCAAAGGGAGCAGCCCTGACCTGTCCCCGGGCTCAGGATCCCATTGCTGGGACGTGGGGCTGCCCAGGGCCATCCCCAGTGGCTGCTGCAGCTCAGGGGTGCTGTCACCGGCGTGGGGTGACACCCAGCCCGAGGCTGCTGGGACACCTGGCCATGTCTGAGGTGAGGGAGGGTGGAAATGAATCCCAGCCAGGCTGGGTACAGCCCTGCAGCGTGGCCAGGGCTATCCCAGTGCCCTGTGTGGGCATCAGCACCAGCTCAGAGGGTGTCCTGTGTCCCCCACGGGTCTCTGGCACTGCCAGGCTGCAAAAGTGCATGGGAACATCATTGCATGCAGGATTGCCAGGAGAAATGCATCCAGCCCTGGGATCAGCTCAGGAGGAACCTGGAGCTGCTGGAGAGTCCAGAGGAGGCACCAGAGATGCTCCAAGGGCTGGAGCCCCTCTGCTCTGGAGCTGTGGCTGCCCCTGGATCCCTGGCAGTGCCCAAGGCCAGGCTGGACACTGGGGCTGGGAGCAGCCTGGGACAGTGGGAGGTGTCCCTGCCATGGCAGGGGTGGCACTGGGTGATCCTGTGGGAATCCCTGTGATCTTCAGGCCACCCATCCCTCTGCCCTGGAGCCAGGCTGAGAGCTGGGGGTGCTCACCTGGAGAGGAGAAGGCTCCAGGGAGAGCTCAGAGCCCCTTGCAGGGCCTGAAGGGGCTCCAGGAGAGCTGGAGAGGGACTGGGGACAAGGGATGGAGGGACAGGACACAGGGAATGGCTTCCCACTGCCAGAGGGCAGGGATGGATGGGATATTGGGAATTAGGAATTGTTCCCTGGCAGGGTGGGCAGGCCCTGGCACAGGGTGCCCAGAGCAGCTGGGGCTGCCCCTGGATCCCTGGCAGTGCCCAAGGCCAGGCTGGACACTGGGGCTGGGAGCAGCCTGGGACAGTGGGAGGTGTCCCTGCCATGGCAGGGAGGTGATCTCCAGTCTGGTCCCCCAGGTCCTGCCCTGGATAATCCCATCAGGGAGATCCTTTTGCCCAAGCACTGGCAGAGCTCAGGCACGTCGTGTTTTCCCCGAGGTGATCTTGGTGGCCTGGCAGGGTCTGTCTGACGTCTCTGGCTCTGCTACAAACGTGGAGTTAATCTCCTCTTGGCAAGGAAGCCTGAGAATTTATGGCCGTGGAGTGTGAGGAGATGAAAAGGCACCGTGGAAGGCATTATCTGAAGTGCTCTATTGAATTACCATCAGATGAATCCAAACGACTTTAATGATGCAGCTTGGCCTTGTGCCACCAGAAGGGATCACATTCCCCAGGGAGGCCTCGGCGTCCTGCTCCCTGGCTGGGCTCCCGTGCCACGTCACATGGGGAGCATCATTCTCCAGTGACCTCCATTCCCTGCCTGAACCACGGCCACTCCAGCTCCTGGCCCAGAGGGGCTCTGGGATCATCACCTGCGGCTTTTGGGGGCACACCTTCCAGTGACCTCCATTCCCTGCCTGAACCACGGCCACTCCAGCTCCTGGCCCAGGGGGCTCTGGGAGCATCACCTGCGGCTTTTGGGGTCACACCGTGTCCCTGCAGGTTCCCTGCGCTGGGCGAACCCACCAGGATGGGTCACATTCCCACAAAGCCCGGGAATTTTGGTTTTCCCACCCAAAGCAGCCCCAGCTATGGCCTCTTACCTGCTCTGCCTTGGAGTAGGGGCTGTTCAGGACCACGGGGACGTTGCTCTTCCCCCACAGGTCCCCCGGGACACGATCGTTCTCCATCCGAGCCGGCAAAGCTTTCTGGGGACTGTTCTCCCCTTCCCTGAAACTGAAGGGTTAAAAACCTTTCGGGGTGCTGGCACCACGGGCACAGGTCCTGCTCCAGCTCCTTCCCACAGGAGCCAAAACTTGGCCACTGCCCCGTGGGAAGGGAGGAAAGGCAGAGCCCCAGCCAGGGCAATGAATCACCGAGGTGAGAACAGCCCAAACACCACGGGAGCTCCACCTCAGAGCCACAGGCATGCCCTGTGCCCACACCGGCTCTCCAGCAGAGCCTCTGCACCCCAAAACCCCTGCTGGAACCCCGGGAGAGCACCCTGGGAGATGGGGAAGGGAGGCTGGGGCAGCTCGTGGCAGAAGGAGTTTGCGGAGCAGCTCGGTGCTCGCGAGCAGGGAAGAGGAAAAACCAGCCCAGAACAAAGAGGAGGCTCCAGGAGCTCTCCCTCCTCTTCCTGACCTTCCCAGGAGCTGGGAGTGGAAGTGATTTCAGCCAAGCAAACGGGGATTGTCCCTGCTGGGGATGAGGGGAGGGCTGGGCACTGGGGACACCCCAGCGCTGGCTGCCCTGGCCAGGCGGTGACACCGGAGTAACTCAGGAGTAACTTAGGAGTAACTCAGGAGTAACTCAGGAGTAGCTCACTGCACCACACACCTTTTGGGGTGTGGGACATGCTCTGAAAAGCCACCTGAGCTGGTGGAAAACCTCTGCCAGGTGAGCCCTCGTCAAGGAGAAAACAAACGGGGTCTAGAGGGGTGACATGCAGACGGGCAGGGGGTGGCACCTGTGTCACCTCCAAGGCCACCAGGAATGGGCTCCTGGGCTGGGCAGAGCAGGGGCACGGGTCAGGATGGGCACAGGCACTGAGGAAATGCCCTCTGGAGCTGCTTTGCTCCTGCTGTCAGTCCTTAAAAACCTTCCAGGTGCCACTGAACCAATAATGAGAATTCTCATTAACGGTGGCAGGGTTTGGGCACTGACCAAAGTAGGACACTTGCACCCAAGGCATAAATCACACCACCAGCATGCTCCTGATCCAGTTTCAGGAAGACAAATAAATACAAATAAATTCAGTTTCACAGTCCTTGAACTCCTTTAGCTTAAGGAAAAGACTTCATTTAAAGAGCATCTCCCTGTGCTTTTTCTGTCATTTTTCTGCTTTTACAGAGCCATGCTCAGCTGCCAAAATATTTCCCTGGGCTCTGGCCACCTTCCAAAGGTTGGAAAGTGGCCACCTTGGTGCAAGTGAGGAGGCACAGGTGCCCAAGGGCCGTTTTCCTGGGATTTCTGTGCCCCCCAGGCCATGAAAGCTGTTGCCTGGTGAGCTGGCCCCTAGGAGGATGTGAAAGGGTTTCAATCAGATAAAACACAGCTTACACAAAACCCCACCCAAAGACAACAGATCCCAATCTCTGCTGCAGGGGGTGGTGATTCCCACAGGTGCCAGGATCCGCAGGGATGCACAGAGATCCTGGGGACAGGGACAGCCAGCAGCCACCCAGCCCCTCCGTGCCCAACCCAGAGGGCAAGCTCAGGGTCTGCTGCCCAGTCTGCCCCCATCCCAGTAATCCCAGCAGGCAGGGAATTAGCAGGATGGAAGCACAGCCAGCCTGGCTGTCCCTCGGAGCCAGCCCAGCTGTTCAATCTCCTGGGGAGCTCTCATTCCCACGGCTGCACCTCCCTGCCCTCCTGCCCTGATCCCAGCGCGCCAGGGGACGGGTGGGAAATGGATTTGTAGGGAATTCTCCAAACCTGACAGAAGGCCCACCCAGTGTGCAAACCTTGAGATAAGAAATGCTGAATTAGGAATGCCATGGAATAGGACAGACATTGTTGGGAGAGAAATGGAGCTAGAAACAAGTTTCAAAGATGGCCTTGCAAATAAAACTGGATACCTTGGAGAAATAGAGCTGTGAAAGATCATTGTAGTAGGACCCATGAGGGGTAGTTTGAGATGATTGTCTTTAAGGCATTTACAGCAAGGTGTGGCTAAAGCTGATAGGCCAAGAAATGCTTATAATGTATTATAATTAAAAAAATAGTTAGCTTCTGATTGTGATGGTGTGAATGATAACATCTGTATTGTCTCACCCTTCTCATGAGACTGAAAATGGAATAAAAGTTTTTCAAACACCTCTCAGCTGCCCCATCCCAGGGTCAGGAAAGGGCATTGTCCAACAGGGACACAGCCAGGTCAGCACAGGGCCACCGAGCTCCTGAAGTCACCTCCAGCAGCTGACAGGCCCCAGCTGCTCCTCACAGCGGGCCCAAAATCCAGACAGAAGCGCTGAATCCATAAGGAAGAGATCCCTTGGCTCTCCTGGAACTTGGCACTTCCCAGAAGGAACCTGCTGGAAAACCACAGGGCCTCTCCAGGAGAAGTTTGGGATCAGCCAGAGATCCCACAGGCACCTCCAGAAGGATGCTGGTACCCGAGAAGGGTCTGCAGGGCCAGTGCCAGCACGAGGGAAGCTCAGAGAGGGATCCACCCAGCAGCAGCAGCAGCAGCTGGAGGCCTTGGGATGTGGGATCTCACCGTGTGCACAGCAGCAAAGATATAAATGTTGGCAGCTGGAGAAATCCCAGATGTTGAATGAAACTGGGTGTTAATTTGGGTGGTTTGGGATTTCCAGGTCCTGCTGGGGCAGGGATTGCTCCCATTCCTTGGCCCCGAGCAGCACCTGACAGCTGAGGGACAGGGACATCCAGGTGGGAATCACCTGGAAGTTCCACACCCGCTGTGTGCCTGCAGCTGTGGCAGGAGCTGAATTCCTGCTGCTCCTCCCCATGGATTTATGGCCGAGCCCAGCCCTGAGGGGCTGACCCTGCAGGGAAAGCTCTGCTGGGAAAGCACAGCCAGGCGTGGCGGTGACAAAGCCACAGAGTGACCTGGGGGTGTTCCCGGGGCTGTGCCTGGCCAGGGCTGCCCTGAGCCCCCCCGATGGGGCTGCCCAGCAGGATCCGGCTCTGTCCTTTTGGACAGAGGCAGGGAGAGAAAAGCCCATTCAGAGCAGCCAGAGCCTCACCCCAGTCCCAGCACAGATGGGGGAACAAAAATAAAAACCATCAATTGCTTCATTTTACAAATATTTCCTGGCCCTCGCTTGTAAGGGCCTTGTTTGCGAGCTGGGGCAGGAATGGGATTTTTGGGATGAGTTATTTTCCTCTCTTGCCGTGGCTGCTGGAGCCCCAGAGGCACAGGGTGGCCTGGGACGATGTCACTCAGCTCCAGCAGGCTGAGGGGACAGCCACAGCGCCGTGCCCGAGCTCAGCCCCTGGGTAATGCTCCCAAAAGGATTTTATCAACAGGAGAGCCCCAAAAGCTGTTCTGGTGGGCACTGGGGGGGCACAGCTCCCTCGAGGGAGCCAGGCTGGACATCCCCAGGGATCTGCCTTGGGAGAGCCACAGGGAGAGAGGAGCTGGCTCCTCTTTTTGGAGAACTCCAGGCCAGGTTGGGCGCTGGGGCTTGGAGCAGCCTGGGATAGTGGAAGGCGTCCTGGGACTGGATGAGCTTTAAGGCCTTCTCCAACACAAACCATTCCATGAGATGTTTTTAATCCCCATTTTGATGTCTTTGGGGAACTGGAAGCAATGCTGAAGGTGGAAGCCATCTGTTGGGTGAACTCTCCCAAAAGCCAGATCCAGGATCCAGGATCCCTCTCTGCCTGCTCCCAGATCCATCACACACTCTTGGCCAGATCTCTTGGATCCACAGAGATCCAGACCCCTGTCTGAGGGGCTGATCTGAAAGCCAAATGTGATACTTTAAAAAGGAAAGAGGAATCCTGCCCTCCCCCACTGGTGCCAAGCAGAGCCCGGGATGCTGCCTCCCCTCGGAAAGAGCATCTGGCTGTTTGGAGAAATGAGAGGCACCACTGTTTTCTTTTGACTAATTTGATGATGTTGCAGTGCTCCGAGTGATGAAGCAGAAGGGAAGTTGCTGAGACAGCCCTTTCAGAAATTTCTCCAAAGCTTTTCCAAAAAGAAATTAAAGGGGAAAAAAAAAATAAAAACAGCAAAAGGGAAATTTGTCAGTTTGTCACTCGGCTCCTTTGAATTTCCTTGGCAGAAGGATCTCTCTGACTTCCCAGGCAGGGAGCAGAGACAGCCCTGGCTGCTGCCACCCCAGCCGGGATGGATGATGAGGATGGCAGTGCCACACCTCCGGTGACAGCCCTGGTGACACTGATAACATCACCCTGTGCTGTGACCAGGGACTGGCTTCTCCTTCTCCTGGAAAACCTGAGCCCGGGGCTGTGTGGGAAGCTCACACCTCGGGAGAGAAATTCCTTCCTCTTGCCTCATTCCCTGATTTTTCCTTGGGAGAGAAATTCCTTCCTCTTGCCTCATTCCCTGATTTATTTTCTGGAGAGAAATTCCTTCTTCTTGCCTCATTCCCTGATTTTTCCTTGGGAATGGCTGCATTTGCAGTGCTCCTCCTTCTGGTGCTTGGGGCTGGGATAAGCAGCTCTTGCCTCACCTTTCTTTTGCCCCATGGAAAACCACATTCCAGAGGGGCAGGAAGTAAAATTCCCTAAATTTAATTAATTTTAATTAATTTAATTCAATTATTTTAATTAAAATGGAAATGCTTCCTTCCCTGGGGCAGTTGGAAAAGGTGCTGGCTGCAGGCTGGAGTGCTCAGCAAGGTCTGGACAAGAGCAGAGGGAGAGGGATGGGGCAGGAGAAGGGATTTGCAGGGTGCAGAGGATGGAGAGGGATGGGGCAGGAGAAGGGATTTGCAGGGTGCAGAGGATGGAGCAGAGCTCAGGAAGGAGGTGGGAAATTGGAAGAAGGAAAAACTCCAAAATCTGGGATGCACTCCCTGGAGAGGCAACAGGGACAGTGGGGACTGCAGGGTGATCCAAGCAAGGAACAAGTGGGACAGCGCGGAAGGAGGAGGACAAAAGCCTCGGCAAGAACCTGTGGAATGATCTGGAGAAGATCTGGCAGCCTCAGAAAGTCAGGAATGTGCCCAGCTCTGGGATCAGGGACTAATGAGCCGAGCAAGCTGCAGCCTCAGGGAGCCTGTGAAACATGAGGCTGGAAC